AGTAAGGCACTTGTTACTAGAAGCGATGCACTTGTTACTACTAGCGTCCTTGTTACTACTAGTAAGGCACTTGTTACTAGAAGCGATGCACTTGCTACTACTAGCGTCCTTGTTACTACTAGTAAGGCACTTGTTACTAGAAGCGATGCACTTGTTACTACTAGCGTCCTTGTTACTACTAGTAAGGAACTTGTTCCTAGTAGCGATGCACTTGTTACTGCTAGCGTCAACTGCATTGTTCTTGAATTGTTCTTGAATAAGACAGCGTTTGTTACAACAGAACGCCCTTTCAAGGTGGTACTTGAAAACTAGTGCGCACAACAACCTGAGTCGTATCAAACACTATTTTAGAAATAGGCAGCCGTTTTTGTTACTACTAGTACCAAGTGCCACGCTAGTAGTAACAAGTGCCTTACTAGTACTAACAAAAAGCTATTAGAATTAGTTTAAGTTAATTTAAAATTATAGTTTTTTGTTACTACTAGTAAGGCACTTGTTGGTACTAGCGTGGCACTTGTTACTACTAGCTTTGTGAAAAATAGGAGGCCGTTTTGGTTTTCACTGTGCCCACTTTCGGTGTTTCTCGGACACGACACCGTACCGCACTGTACTTACACCGCCACCGCGACTGCTGATGCTACCTTTGCCACCGCTCCCGTTGCTGCTTCTGCTAAGTCTCTTGCTACTCCTTTTGGCACGACTACTTCTACTGGTGCAGCTGCGGCCATTGCGACTACTCCCAACCCTACTCCTACTACTCCTCCTACTCACCACCTATTAGCAGCTCCTATTCTACTACTACTGCCCTTTGCCTCACAAGGCCCCCTCGTTTTTTGAGCCGAGGCTTTGAAGAAGCTGATTCGCCGCGAACAGTTGCAGATCATCCCAAGGCAAATGCGAAGGACACAAAACACACATGGAGCAACATTTTCTGGTTTGGAATGACATGGAGTACCTCATATTGCTTTACCCCTCGCACATGTCTTACATGAACACCTTTTAAGGCACTCTCTGTGGAGGGATGCCAGTTGATGCAATGTACATGTCGTTATCCCACATGTCGTGACTTGTAACTTGCAACTTGCAGTTTTGGCTTTGATGCCAGCGATGAGGGCGTCACACACTGAGCATGACATTACACTCTTCTAGACAACCGAGCTTTGTTGACATTTGCACCAGGACGCCTAAGAAGTCCAATCTGTTATTTGTTTGCAAGGTGACGGATATGCTTACTGCATTTCAGGAATTCGAAGAGGAGAGGGAATTGAAAGTGCCTTGTCTCTTGTTGCTCGTTTACCATCCACATCCATCCACCATTTATCAAGACAAATAGTTGTCGTAATTGGTCACCTTCTTCTATCGGATCTATCGGCTTTTTGGAGCCGGTTTGACACATTGTCTCCATGTTCCATGCGAAGACAGATGTCTTCACTGAGTCTTCACATCGTTTTGCCGCGCCTTTTGTTCGAAGGTCTTCACTGAGTCTTCACCTCGTTGTGACCGGAGGACCCCGACATCTATGTGAACTCCGTGGCGATTCAAGAGGCCTTGCAGCAGAAGAAGCTTCCGAGGCGAACTTGGTTACAGGGCATCGCTTGGGATCGAGCGTAAGACAGTCCTAATTCGCGGCCAGTCCTCGGAATGAAAGCACCATGCCACAGGGTGCTGACCTCAGACCATTCTTCAGCTCGCATATATGGCAAGCTTCAGCTCGCAGGAGGAAGTGGCAGGTCTTGACAACGTCTTTCTTTTTTTTGCATTGCTTGCGCCTTTGGCATATTGCCTGTAGCTGCCATGCTATGAATGTTGGAAGTAGTTCCATTTCATGTTCCAAGAGGGGTTGCCGAGAGCCGCACGCTCGTTCAAGCCGCACGGAGCCATTCTGCTGAGTTGAGACAGCGGACTGCAAGGCCTTTGCAGCTATCCTA